TAGTTTTACTCACGTTTGTCTCTTTCTAAAGTAACGGTTGAAAAGAGACAAAGATCGAGTTAAGCTAACAAGCTTAAAGTTAAACAACGTTGAAGAATCCGGGCCTAAGGCCCGGTTTAACTTTAATAGTTTTATTCACGTTTGTGTCTTTCTAAAGCATGGTATAACTAGTAGGTCCACTCCGTCATTTGTTTCATTCTCCGTCGATCCCTTCTGCGCATCCGACAATGCTCTGGGCAGACCAATGAGAGAAAAGTTGTACGTGTGGTAGTGTAGCTTTGACGAGTACGTGTACACACACACTCACACACACGTTGCTGGATCCTGCCTGAGTGCATGACAGAATACCACGTGACCGGGACCGCAAAGATCAAAGGGCCGGCAGAGAGTGGACCTACTAGTTCTACTATGTCTGAAGTAACAGTTGGAAAGAGACAAAGAACGAATTAAGCTAACAATAAGCTTAAAGTTGAACAATGCTGTTGACACCGGGCCTAAACGTAGCCACTGCTAGAAATCGGTCCGAGATCTCGAGCCGGGAAACACGTAGCCGATCAACTTGCAGTTTTTCCGGCGAAGCTGCAAGTGGATTCGCGGACGCAGGCCTGTTACACAGTAACGTCGTACGCCGCTGTCGGGACGTTCCCTTTTTTGAAAATAAATTTTCTCATCGGGCCACCGGCTACGCCCCGACATCCGACAGCGACACACGACTTATTGTATAACAGGCCGCAAGGCTTAAAACGACAAATAATCGCACGTTGGTGCGCGAGTTGACGCCAAGTCGCGACGCGGCTCGGCTGCGTTCGGTTTATCCCGGCGAGATCTAAACTCATTTCACCCAAATTATCGCGGTTCAGATCCCCCGATCGTCGTCGTCGTCGTCGTCGTCGTCTCGCGCCGCATCTCTATATTGCTTCGCGAGACAATGGGAACGCGGCGAAACTTTTCTCAGCGTTTGCGTAAATGCAGGAGGGCGGAAAGGGCGGATTTAATTTCGCGCGGCGACGACGGCGGCGGCGGCGGCGGCGGCGTTTGCCGACGGAACGCGTCGCGACGTGATACGCGACGGGCGTATCAAGCCGAAAAGTTTTTATCGTCCCGCCGAACGCATTTGCTGCAAATTGATGGAAATGATGGCTCAAATTCGGGGGGGCTTGGACGCGAGTTTTTCACGCTCGCGCGCGCATTATACACGCGCGCGCATAAATATATTTATCCGCGCGCAGAGCGTACGGCATCACCTATACGTGTATTGCATCGCGAAATACATTATCCCGCGGAGAATGGACTGTTAACGCGGTTATATGACTCCATTTTGCGCGTTACACGAAACATCATCCCGCGTTACAAAGAGCCCGTAATGACGCGTCATGTATATGCGATCGTGCGGCACGGTAAAAGCGTGAAAATAATAGGCAACGTTGTCCGCCCCGGCCACGCGCGCGGCGCACGTTTGGTTTTCGGCCGTCCGGACGTCGGTCGGGGCCACCCTCCTCTTTGGCGAGGCGTAACAAATCGCAAAAATGTTTCCCGTAATCCGCGCATCGCGCCGCAGGGCGCGATGCGGCTAAAATAAACAGCGCTGAAATCGCGCACGGCCAATCTGCGGGAACGAGTTGCGCGACGCGCGCGCGCGCGGAAGGGGGACGAGCGCGCGGCGAATTATCCGCTCCCCTCCCCCGCCCCGTTGTTGAATGGCCAATTCTCTACTTGGAAATTAAGCTACGGCCTAAACTAACCCAGAGACCGCGGCGTCGCCGCGTCGCCGGTCCGTCCTGGGTGTTTGCCCGCTTTTAAGCGCTTCCTATCGCCCCTTCGCCTCGCCTGTTCCGCGACGAAACGCCTGCGGAATGCACACACGTACACTGATCGATTTGCGCTGACTTATTTAAATGTCCCCGCACGACGGACGCGAGCGGACGCGAACGGACGTAGTCGGAGAGCGCGCCGTCAATTCGCGGAAGGAATTGATCGAGCCGCGAGTCGACGATGGAGCAGCGATTTTCAACCTTTCTCATCTCTAGCGGCACACATGGGCCGATATTCATAGTCAGATTTAGGATCGTCTCGAGATCATCTTTAGATACTTCGTAGCCAATTAAATGTTTTATATAACGTCTCAAGATAAACTTAAGGTTCTGAATATAAGGTCTGACTATGAATAAACTAATTACTAAAATTCAGCGGCACACCTAAAAATATATTCTACACGAAGAGAATTTTCGCTTAAAATTGACTCTGAAAATCATGTAATCGTGGGACAATATGGCATTTTGAAGAATTTTATGAGAGTTGTTTAAATGTTATTACACATTTTGCTATGGTAAACTCATGAAATTCTTCAAAATTTCTCTTAAAATTTACCCTGAAAATCATGCAGTCGTGGGACAATATGACATTTTGAAGGATTTTATGAGAGTCTTTTTAATGTGTTATACATTTTATTATAGTAAACTCATAAAATTCTTCAAAATTTCTCTTAAAATTTACCTTGAAAATGATGCAATCGTGGGACAACATAGCATTTTGAAGAATGTTATGAATTTTTTAATGTTATACATTTTACTATAGTAAACTCGTAAATGGTATAGTTCATCAGATTGCCAGTATTGATATAAACAAATTTAAAACTTCAATCGATCTCAGCTGGCCACATTTATTGAATACGCTTCCACAACGTTTCGACCTTTGGTTTAGGTCCTTTTCAAGTGAGATCTAACAAGTAAGGGTAAATATTTTACATACATTAATGTGAGAAATATAAACGAACTGTTCAGTATCACAGAAAGATTGTCGGTCTACCTTGTTATGAAGTTTGTCAAGTAAAACTACAGCCACAATTTGGCGAGCGGTGTTCAAAAATAAGAGCCATTTCATATTTCTCATAAAAAAACCCCAAAACCACTATCAATTTAAAAACGGACACGGACAATCTTAATCCGATATATGACAAAATTATTAGCTTGGTCTAAAAACCGACTGTCTTGGTGTGTTTTTCTTATATGTGTATATTTGTTAACCGACTTCTGAATATGACAATAACGAATTAGTCTTTGTCTTTCGATCATCGACTCCGGACGTTAGTGAAGTGGCTCTTATTTCTAAACACCGCTCGCCAAATTGTGGCTCGAATTTCACTTGACAAACTCCGTAACAAAGTAGACCGACAATATTTCTGCGATACTGTACAATTCGTTTACACTTCTCACGTTAATTGTATGTAAAACATTTACTCCTAGATCTCACTTGAAAAGGACCTAAACCAAAGGTCGAAACGTTGTGAAAGCGTATTCAATAAATGTGGCCAGTTGAGGTCGATTAAAATTTTAAATTTGTTTAAACTTAAAATTCTTCAAAATGCCATGTTGTCCCACGATTAAATAATTTTTAGATAAATTTAAAAAAATTCTCGGCGTATATTATTAAGGAAAAAGAAGTCGGTGCTCCTGATTGAATAGTACAGCTCACTGATTTCGAAAATCGCTGCGTTCGAGTGATCGACTGTCGCGCGTCGCGCACCCGCGAAAACGAAGTTTAGAAATTTAGCCTTCGAATGAGCCGCCGTTTGCCGCTACCATCGAGATTAATCCCTCGACAAACGGTTTGCATCAATGTGTCTTGAAAACGAGTAGTTTTGAATTTCCATCGTCGCCCTCCGGTTCGTCGACTCGCGGGAGGCGCGCGCGGCCGCCTCACCTCGTTTCGCGCGGACGTTTCGCAGCGGAATTTGCGCCACGACACGTCGCGTCGCGCCGATGTTTGCGATAATGGTCGCGCGTAAATGCACCGCGCGCGCGGCCACCGCCGTGGTCCATTGAAAATTGCATCGTAATCAATGCGTCGTAGATCCTGGAACGTGACGTTGCGCTCAGCCGGCGGCTTTGCGCCCGATATACATACACGCGCGCTTTCTTTTCGCTCTCCGTTCTTCTCGCGCCGCGCCGCATCTCCGCTCGTTCTTTTTTTCTCCCCCCCCTCGCTCTTTGTCCCCGGTTCGAAACACGCCTCGGAGATTAGGATAAATGCTCCTGGAGCGGCGACGGGCGGCGCAGTTTACGCGCCTAGCAAATCGAAGCGATAAATTGATCGCTCGGCATCGTAAAGCCGCGCTCACACGCGCGCGTTTCGCCACGCCGGCGAAATGAAAACGCATGGTTCCTGCGGGAAACCGCCGCGGCGGTTAATAGAGAAAACTTTTACCGCCGTTTCTCGGCTGAGGGGGAATTTAAATAGCGCCGATGAGCGAGGTGTCTTTCCGCCCGGGCGAACGTCTCTCGCGCGGGAAACGCGAGATAAGGAAACTGTTAAATTATACCTGCTATGTCGTGTACGAGCGGAGAAATAAAAATCAATTTTTCCTCAACAGGGGCAACGGAGGCGCTCCACGACGTGCGAAGCTCCAACGGCGCGCGAGAAATTACGAAGGAAAGTGTCGTGAAACGTAACGTCGAACTTAAACGGGAGTCGCAGTTTCCATTTCCGCGTTCCATTAATAAATGAGAGAAGTGCCCGCGGTTCACGCGATAAGGTAAACCGCGATGGATCGCGTTGTGCTGTGAACAGTGCACGGGAGGAGGATCAACCTGGGGAGACTGTCGTCGAATGGAGCCTCTTCCGAATCACGAGGATGCGCTCGAGCCCACGAAATGGTGAAATGATCGTGTACATAGTGTGTCGCGGACGCTGCAGCGATTTCTAAGAAGCAACTGCCCAAGTCTAAGATGTACCCCGCGCCGGCGAGACATCCCGCCGCTCCCGTAAGTACTTGCATCTTTATTTTGCTTAAAAAAAGAACCAGGGAAAAATAGTCAGCGTGACGTCAGGTGCCGAAAATTGTGCGCACAAATTTAACCCTTCCGTGACCACCGCGAAATATAAATCTCACATTTTTGGTCTCTTCGGCTCCTCGGGACGCTAATGTCTCAATCATAATACGCGCAGTCGTCTGGCCGGGACACGTATAAGGCTATTTCATTTGGAACGGACGACAAATTTTTCAAGCAGGATAGAAAATTCTCCAGCCTAACTGTTTAAAATTGAAATTAATCGACAACTGAAAGTCTAGCCTAACTGTTTAAAATCGAAGCTAATCGACACGCTTAAATTTTGTCGTACGACAAATGAAAATCCGACTTAACTGTTTAAAACTGAAGAAATTTTCTATCCAGCGGCCAATTGACTCGCTTAAATTTTGTCGTACGACGAATGAAACACCAGCCTAACTGTTCAAAATTGAAACCAATCGACAGGTCTAAATTTTGTCGTACGACGAATAAAACTCCAGCCTAACTGTTCAAAATTGAAACTAATCGACACGCTTAAATTTTGTCGTACGACAAATGAAAAGCCGGCTTAAAACTAAAGGAAGGTTCGCTGGCGTGAAGTCACTGTGCTTAAAAGTCTAGAAGAGAGAAATAAAAGTACATAAAAAAAGACTCAATGATTTGAAACGCATTTTATTACTGGGGAAACACATTACATCGAGAAGAATTCAACACCGGAAAGTAATTCAGTCACGAAAGGGTTAAATATATCGATGAAAGAAACGGCAGCGCGGATGGGCGCCGAAATCTTATTGCCGCTTAATTTAAAGCGAGTTCTAATTGGGCGAAATTTCAGTTTGACGCGCGGCCAGCAAAGTTAGTAAATTCACGGAACATTTTCTACTCAGTGTTCGGCAACTTTCCCACAGCGCTACCGTATTTCTTCGCCTTTTACGCCGGTATTCTCAACATTTTTGCTTAGCGTTATCCATTATAACGAACGTCAAAGGGTAATATAGTGTAATTACCGCTCCGCGCAAGGGAAGCGAAAGAGCACGTGGGAGTCAAGTCGACCGCTCTCGCACTTCGCGTTGCTAATTCGAAGAATGTTTGATTGTTCCCCGCGCGCGTCCCTACGCCGTCAACCTCCGCTCGTGCCACTCTTTTTACCGTCATAATTTCACGCGCCGCACAAGCTCAAAGTCCCTTACGATGAAACGAGACCACCGGCGAATTTGCTGACACACGAACGTAGAGAGAGAGAGAGAGAAAGAGAAAGAGAGAGAGAGAGACAGAGGAGGGGGGGAAAGAGACAGAGGCGACCATTAGAAATTACGAGGATTATTTATAGAGCCCGCAAGTCAACGTACAACAATTGCCGTTCATAGAACCGGCCAATGGGCGATATGTGGGCATCACTCGTTTGCTTATTGACGCTGATGTGGCGCCGCTTCGCTCAAGGGGCACAAAGTGGCTCGATCGTTTCTTCGACGAGTATACTCGACGCGCACGACGGACATACGAAGCGACGGCGATAACAGTGCCGTAATACTCCTCTTAATACCGCGCGAAACGGCCGGATAATTACCGCGGTGACTAATATAATATGACGACGTAATTGCTCGAAGGAGAATCAGAAAAGTTAAGCGCCGCCGCGACTCTCGGCAATTTTTTCCGCGTTCTCAAGACGGAGACATTTTTTTTTTCTTTTAATAATGTCACCGCCTGAAAACGGCTCGCGATTAGCGCGACGATTGAGGCCTAATCTGCAATATGTTCTTTGACGTCTAGAAACATTGTACGTTGTAGCCAGTAAAACACGTTTAAAAGATTCGCGCAAGTTGATAAATTGTACTTCGTACAATCGTGCATTATCGACCGATTTTTTAAGCCTGTTGATTTGCTTATGCAAAATAGAGTGTTTCTAATCGCAAAGAGGATCCTGTAGATCCAACTTAACGAAACGACGTAATTGGAGGAGAATTGCAAAGGCTTGGATATAATTTTGTTTCGACGATTTGCTGACGGGTATCGTCGGGACGACCTGCCACGCGAGACAACCGGCAATTATCGCGATTTATTATGAAACTATTAAGAGTAATTGATCGAAGAGAAGGTACGAACGTCGTTATTTAACGGGAAAACTGTCGGTGACGTTGCGTGCTGCGCTAAAGAAATCCAAGCGGTCTTGCGTTACGACAAGTATAATATATTTCCCGCTTCCGTCGTCGGCGCGGCTCGTAGAACGTCTTTCTGCCGGAGTATCATTAGCGATCCTTTAGCAGGGACGAGTGGAAATTAATCCCCGCTAAACAGCGATACGGGATTTCGAGCGTAACAACGTTGCGAAGAAAGCAGAGCAACGTAGTCGCCGTTAATAGCGGACGCATAATCGAGCGTAATCGTCGCGGCACGCGATCGCCTTTTCACACGTGGCTCTCATTGAGCGGTTACTTACGTGCTTCTCTCCGATTGGTAAGACGCGGCCCGCAGATAGTCCGGACACAAAGATCCTTAGGGCCAGTTGAACAAACGTCGGTTAACAACTAACCGAAGATTTATTGATTCTCCGTCTCTTCTTAGATAATAAGATAAAAAAAAGATAGGGACTTGACTGAACTCGCGTTAACCAACGTTTGTGAAATTGGCCCTTAGGGTCAATGTCATTTCGGTGGGAAGAATGTTTGTATATCGCGAAAAGTTGCCCCGGAAGAGATGGAAATGCGACGAAACGCCTCAACCCTTTGGTCGTCGCGCGGCGCTTTTATAAAAATAATTTCCGAAATGAAGTCATTTCTCGCGAACCCGAAAACCCACGGGTTAAACGAAGAAACTCGAGTTCCCGGGGTAAAGGATACAAATTGATTTTTCACATTTGGCTTTCTCACAAAATGAACGTCGCGCGTTACGAAAAATAGCGCGACGACTGAAGGGCTTAATAGAGCAATAGGTAATATTTGCGCCGTATATTTTTTCGGTTCGGCACGGTTACCACTTGTTTTCGTATTTTCAAGTCTGTCACGTATTTCGCGTGACGGGCTGATCGTCGGTATAACGGAAAGGCTGGATGTTAGGACGAGAACGAGCCATTCTCCTTGCTTGCCAACCAAATAAACGAATGCACGCTGGCGAGCGTCACGCTCGTAATTCCGTAACTCGATCCTCCGCGAGGAGGATAATAAAAGGCGAAATAGTTATTCGCGAGAGTCGCCCGTTGTTTTAAGACGCCGATGTCTAGAAAAGCGTGGAACGCGAGAAAGTCGGGGAACGCGCCGGGCAAGAAAGATCGGAGAGTGTCGGAGATAAGATCGGGCAGCAGCTTCCGCAATTTCCTATCGCGGTGGCTAGAGAAAAGGCGCGGAATTACTCACTCGGCAGTATTTATTCATCTATACGTTTCGGGATAACAATTGTGTGACGAATTATGATAATACAAAAGTGATTCTTTCACGTGCACGCCTGATCGCGCTACTCTCTCGTTGTCCAATTTCGTACGCATCCTCAGAAAGGATTTCTGTTACCGAGACAAATATTCTTGACTCATTTGTACTTCTCACAATCCTATTTAGTAGAAAAATAAGACAGCATCAAAATAAAATCAATAACTCTTATTTTCCTCGATCGAATTAAAAAAGTTTGACTTGCTATATTGAGACGAGAGTAACTTTATATAGTCTTGCGTTTAGAATAAATTTTCCCTCCATCTTACAACGCACGAATTGGACAAAAGACTATACATACTGTTATTTTATTCTAGATTTTAGAATTTTTCATTTAAGATTAAAATATTCCTTTCCTATGATAAATACGATTGGCGCTATATCGATCCTATTTGCTGATACATTGAAGTGTAATAGCATTGGATCAGGAAATTTTTTCTGTGGGTGCGAGAAGAAATCGCAATGTTGCAGAAAGTCGCCTCCTCGCGCAAAGAATGATCTCCCGACGTTTACAGTCCGATCAAACTGCAGCCCTTCTCGCGCACGCTCTTGAATTAAAGAGAATTCGCAGCGCATTTTACATTTGAGCACACAGAAAGGCGACGCGTGACGTTTTGGAGTTAACAATGGATGCTTGCTCTAGCGTAAAACCACAATGTTGAAAACAAATTTTTAATGAAAGACTTTACTCCGCTTTTCGGGTCAAAGTAGCGTAAAACCTGTTGAAACATTCATATTATGCTTCCAAAACGGTTGCTTGTTTTTCCTCAAATATGACTTTATCGCCTCTTTCCGCTCTAACCGATTCATCTCACGATCAGCTGTTTTACTCGCATTCGGAGCCTCTCTCTTAGTCACCGTTGTTTCCGTCGAGACTGAAAAACAAAAAAAGATTCGCGATGGCGGACGATAGTTAATAGCAACGGCATAACTAGGTGAACGTCCTCGCCCTCTCTCGGTTCTCCCGTACTCACGTCTTTGATTAATAGTTATCTCTCGTGTCGCGGACGTGCATTAGAAGTTAAGCGGGAACAAAAGTGCGGCGAACGAGCGCTCGCAGGCAGGCAGCAGCAGCAGTAGCAGCAGCAGCGGCGGCAACGACAGCGACAGCGTCTCTGCCGCGGCGATATAATTTGCGCAAATGTAGGAAGTAATATCGCGGGGACAACAAGAGTCTCGCGACGCGCTCTTTGCAAAATGCGCCTGGCTGAGCGCGCGCGAGCACGAGAGCGATGCGAGCTACACCGAGAGCGGGACAAAGGGACGCCGCTTTGTTTCGCCGTCCCTTTCTTCTCTTTCCTTTCTCTCGCTCTCCTCTCTCGGCCCTATCCACCTCCAGCCGACCCGTTCCCTCGCGTTGCCTTCCCGCGCCCTTTCGTGCCGGTTCGCCGTGTCGTTTCGTGCTCTAGATTCCGCGGATTTCTCCGCGCCTCCGCCCTCTCATAGAGAGATCGCCCGCACTGGATTTTATATCAAAAATCTCGCCGTTTATTGCTTTATTGCCTCGCCCACGTGAAAGGCGGGCGGGTACACCGCCGTTTTCGGCTCGTAAAA